TAGGTCCCCTATCTTCTCTTATCAGTTATGATCAGTTCTTGTCACCGAAAACCTACGATACCGTCATATCCTACATCACTTACTAAAATGCTGAGGTTCCACTGGTAATACGAAAAGTGTGATGCTACCAAAATTGAACGCTCTAGGTCCACGTAAACAGGGTTTATGAGTTTGCTGCCCAAAATTACTATCGCGCACGCCCCGCCCCTGTGCACGGAGTCCAGTCTTGCCACCCACCATAAGTGTTCCCATCTGCCCCCCGTACTCCTATCAAGTTTGAAAGCTCTCGGCCCATGGGGACAGGAGTTATGAATTTACGGCCCAAAATTTCTATCGCGCACGCCCCGCCCCTGTGCATGGAGTCCGGTCCTGCCACTCATCATAAGTGTTCCCATCCTGTCCCCGTACTCCTACCAAGTTTGAACGCTCTAGGTCCACGGCGACCGGAGTTATGAANGGTTCCACTATTACTATTAAAGTGTAATCCTATAAAATTTCAACGGTCTAGGTCCAGGTAAACAGGAGTTGTGAATTTGCGGCTCGAATTAGTATTGCGCACGCCCCGCTCCCTGAGCACGGAATCCGGTTCCACCCATCCTGCCCCCGTGTTCTACCAAGTTTAAAAGCTCTCCGTCCACGGGGACAGAAGTTGTGAACTTGCGGCCCAAAATTTCTATCGCGCACGACCCGCCCCCTGTGCATGGAGTCCGGTCCTGCCACCCACCATAAGTGTTCCCATCCTGTCCCCGTACTCCTACCAAGTTTGAACGCTCTCGGTCCACGGCGACCGGAGTTATGAATTTCCGGTTAGACCACACACCGACACACACACACAAATAAACAAACACACATACACACAAACACACCAACACACCAACAGACACACTTAGCGAATTATATATAGTAGGATTGCGTTATATTATTAGACCGGTCTCGGTCTTGGTCTCGGAAATCTTAATACGCAAATTTAAATGTATTCTCGTTTCATTACACGGCTCTGAAAGAAACTCAGCGCTACCACCGGTAACATCTGAATGAATCCTGAGCGGTTCTTTTGTAAACCCTCTTGCAAACCAAGGATCAAGCTTGAGCTATCGTACTTCATGTGAAGTGCCACGGCTCCTCCACTCATTCTGGTGCCTCGAGCATCGACACGTGCGTGGAGAAGGATTAATCACTTTTGCGTACGTTAGTTATTTATTCGCTAGCTTTCACTCTCTCGTCCTCTTCTATTTTGTGAAAAGAGAACGCTTCTATTCCTCCTCTCAGGCTTTCGGCTTCTGCTGATTATGAAATGGCTACGATGAGTCGTGATGAATACTGTCGTTGAAACGGTGGTGTAACCTTTGTGCGATGCATTTTCCCAACAGCCATCAGCCGATCGCACGCTTGTTTCACGTCCCCAGGTTTTTCTTCAACCGCGCTTATGATGTCGTCGAAAACCTAAGAGAAACTTTTGTACAAGTCTCATGGAAAAAAAATTCGGAAATTCATACTTTTAGATAGTTGCCTGCCACGGCTTCGAATCCTGGGTTACTACAAGTTGGATCCACTGTAGATGCATCGATACTCTTCAACTTTGCGTATAGACTTGCATTTTCTGGATTTTGGTTCAGGTATCTGGAATACGAGATAAAAAAGTGTATGTTGTAGAAGAAAGTTTCGAAGGAAATGATACGATTGCATGATAATTTTTTTGTGTTTTAGTACAATAATGATTCAAACATATACATAGGTTGCCTTTTATGTTCCGGTATTAGAAACAAAAATAAATGTGAATCATTGAAAATCGCTTTACTGCCTCTAAAAATTTTCCTCATTAAGATCTATACACATTTGCATGCGCTCGAACCAATTTTTGAAGCTTTCCGAAGATTTCAGTCGTCGAAAAACGTTGACCTCTCATTTTTTTTATGTACGGGATAAGAAGAAGTCACCCGGGGACTATATGGCTGATCACTCATCAAATCGTTGTTTGAGTGCTTAAAAATGCACTTGTTTGAGCCGATGTGTGGGAGCTCGCATTGTCGTGGTGAAGAGTGATCCGTCTTCAGCAGTTGATTTTACTGATTTTTTGGAGGGCAACTGGCAAACAAATGGTGGTATACCACTCAGAATTGACTGTTCTGCTTGTTCTAGTGGTAACGTTGCGACATGTCCAGTTTTTCCAAAAAAACAGGCGACCACTTGCTTGGAAGTGCTTCGTGCGCGGGCAGCTTTTGTTGGATTTGGGTCATCTAGAAATACGCATACGGTCGACTGCTATTTACCTTCGGGCTCATACGCGTCAACCCATGATCCATCACTTGTCGCGATGCCATAGACGCGTTTCGAAGCACCGGGGTCGTATTTTTTGAGCATTTCTTTCAACCAATCGACACAAGCCTTTTTTTGGGGGGTTGACAAGTTTTGTGGGATCAGTTACTGATTTGTTTTCTTTAACCTTCACGAGGTTTGTATACAAGCTTTTTTAGGCTGACGTTCTGGCGGAGTCGCCTTCCTCAGAGCCTAGAAAAAGCATAACAATTTATGACAACCCGACCAAACAACTCCACTGCCATACTGAAGTTCGAGACCCCTAGGGCACGCAGGTGATCAAGGGAGAACCACTCACCGTAGCTTTGTGGATTCTTTGAAACCAACCAGCAATCGACGATAGTAATCGACCAGTCTCAGCTGGGGTAGATCTTCATTCAGAGCCTCTGTGGGAGGGTCACCTTTATATAAGGCCGCAGCTCCCGCGTGATTGCGAGGCATTCTTCTCTGCGATTCATTTTTGGATCAATGACTTGTATCCAAGTCACTGATTTGATTTCTACAGTTGTAATGCGAAAAGTACAGTGTTAGTGTTAGTGTTGAGTAAAGTGTTTTTTTCTCACGACGCGACTCCCAGGGACAAGTAGGTGAAAGGTTAGAGCGTACTGTTCCAACACCTATTTCATTCCCACGGTCATTCTATAAAGAATCTGATCCCTTCCCGGCAGCGGATATTAAGTTCCGAATCTTGTCAACAGGAGTTCTAGACGCGTTTAATAGATTCAAGCGCGAAAAGCGCTCCTACCTGACATGCGAGCAATGGGAAGGGTTCAAAGAAATCCGGGAAAGAATAAAACGGAATGAATTTCTATCAGCGATAAAGGTGGAGAATTTGTGGTACTACCTGTCTTTAGACAGAGAAATCACAGAACTTCACCTATCATACGCAACAGTCTACCGCAACACGACAGAAAAAGCCTTTCATATGCAAACACACAAGTTAAACAC